TATATTTACGTAATAGAATATCACGCGATATGTTACACAAATCTCAAATCTGTTGATTCATCATAATATTACCGCACCCGCTGTCATTATTATGATCGCTGTGACCCGAAACGATCGAACATGAAAATAAAACCAATTGATAGTAAAATGAAAAAAATAAAACCTTCAAAAAGAAAAAAAAAAAAAATGAAGCAATCCAATAAGCAAAATAAAAAAAAAATAAAATGAATCTGGATCGATGTATCCCAAAAGCACAGATTGTTTTTTTATACGATAATGACAAGTCCAATACCTTCAAACATAATATTTATAAATTTTCTTCTGGTATATTATTTTTGTCAAAGGCGCCATTTATTCGGCGATCACTCCAATTACTTCCAAAAGCTTTTCTTCCCGTTCCTAGTATTTGTTTTTGGATGCTATGAAAAAACTAAAAAATTAAAATATTATTATAAATTAACGTTAATCACAAGACTTTACTTACTAAATTTTCATGAATAATACCTTTCATGTGTAAATAAATATTTGATATAATCTGCAAATTGTATTGAATGACAACCATTTTATCTAAAGAAATCAAATGGTATTATTACAAAATCTTCATCTATAATTATCATTTTTTTTTTATAAAAAAAAAAAAAAGAAAAAAAAAAAAAAAAAACCAAAAATTTCGACAAACAATAAAGAAAACAAAAATGCATCTTTAATCAATAATTACCTAAAATTATTTACAAACTTTATTATTTTTTCGTACTTATAATGACTTTGTACTTTTTTAATTTCTGTAATTTCTTACTCGTTGCCATCGTTACAATTTTCAACCTTTTGTCACCTGACGGTTGGGTGATCAGGCCCGGTCCACTGATTAAGGACTTGATGAATTTAATTTTATTACCTCACAAACAACTAGTGACTCATTATTTAGATAAATTGGTTCTTTACTTGATCTTCTGCGTCAGAAATATCCATTTGGAACGGATAGCATAAATATCTTGAAAGAATAGAAATAATTATAAAATTTAAGCTGTATTAAAAAAAGATATTTGATATAAATGAATGATTTTTAGGCGAATTCTTCAATATCAGGGCGCAGCGTAAAACCGCCTTTTTATTGATTTTTAGGCGTTGTCAGAACGCAGCGTCGAAGGTAAGGATTTGATTTTTCTTTTTTCCTATATATTTTAACTGCTGATTGAATAAGGCATAAAGCATTAGACATAAAAATGTCAGAAACGTCTAATCTATATTTGGATATAAAAACTGAAAGTTTTAGTTAGTATGATCATTAAAAATTTTATTTTGGAAAATCAGACCATTCCAAATAAAGTTAAGCAATGTGCCAAGCTTTTCTAATTAAGCTAATTATAAATTTTTTATTTAATAAATTATTTAAAATAATTTTCAAGTAAAACAAATAAATAGATTTTGTTTATATTTTAATTATTTTTTAGATAAATATATAAAGTTTTACTCAAGATTATATACTGTAAATCATAAAATTTTATAGTAATTACAAAAATTATTTTTTTTATTATTAACAATTATCTCATACATTCTTCCCAATTTACAATTTTAGGAGGAATATGAATATCTACACTTATATTTAAACTACTATCAATACTATCATGCTTTATATCAGAATTTTCTAGATTATCTAAAGTATGACTATAAATATTAGTAACATTACTACTTATATCTTCAATTCTATCTTTAGTTAATGTTCTTTGTGGTTTGTTTAAAATAAAAATAGTATTATTTTTTTGAGTATTTTCTGAAATACTACTATTATCATCAACATCATTATAATAATTATTATTCTCATCATTATCTAACAATTGTTGATGAAGAGTTCGTTGTCTAAAATAATTCTTGTTAAAGCTAACTTTTCTTATTATAATTACAAGAACAATCAATGCTAAAATTATTGCGAATATCATTCCTACTATCGCAGGTTTTGAAGCTGGATTATTTGGATTAAATATATCATTTGGATTTGAAGTGTTAGTAGGAGAGATGGTAGCAAATTTCAAAGTTGGGGATGAATTTAATGTTAATGAAGTTGATAGGTTACTATCACTATTGTCATTATTGTTTTGGTTGTTATGATTATTGTCATTTTTGCCATTGTTATTATTACCATTATTATTATCGGTATTATTTTTATTATTCTTGATTTCATCATTTTTGTTGTCGTTGTCATTATTTTTGTTGTTTTTTTCTGGTAAGATTTCCTTAACGGGAACACTTTTAGGAATCTCATCCGTTTTGTGATTTGGAGGATTATTAATTGGAGGTGAATTTATTGGAGGAAGCACCGGATTGTCCGGGGTTATAGGAACATTTTGTTCCGAAGGTTGTTTCGGTTTGGATGGAAGGGAAGGATTCTTCACGCCATTTTCGGGAGTCTTTTCATCATCGTAAGGTGTAGAATTTTGCGTTGGAATTGCTTCATTTTTGTGAAGATGAACTATTATCAGGAGGAAGATTTTGTGTTGAAATTACGATAATACGTCTTGGAGGAGGAAAATACCTTGATTTGTTGGTAACGATAATGTTGGAGATGTACTATTACCACCAAGGGTAATTAAACTTTCAGTTGGTTGAGTGGAGGTGGCGGTATTGATAACAGAGGTTGTTTCGGATAATTTTGTCTTTGGCTGATCAGCATCCTCGTTGTTGATTTCTTCTTCTTTATTTCTTTCATTATATTCTTCACCTTTCCCCTTTTCATTCGCTTTTCCAATTTCATTTTTATTTTCTACATTTTCTTCCATCTTTTTCTCCTCATTATCAATGAACGGTTTATCTCTTCGTTCCTTTATTCCGTTTCTTCGTTTATCTTTTTTAGATATAATTGAATCTATTAAACAAATCAACAAGAGAATTAAAGAACATATTTACAATTCTTTATAATTTATTAAAATAATTTACCTATGGGTAATATTTGTCTATTATGTTGATGTAAGAATTTCCTCCAAAGTCCCATGTTATTTACTTTATATTCTAAATGCAATGGTAATTTTTTGTTGAATTCATTAGTACGGGTCCTTTATTTTTTTTCTTTTTCCGAGGGATCCACGTGATTTGGCTGTTTATAATGGAAGATTATTATTAATTACAGTTCTTGTCGGTTTATTTTTTTTTTTATTAAAAATAAAAAGGTCTCATAAAAGAAAAGAAAAAAAAAAAAGAAAGAGGAAAGAAAGAAAGGAACGATTTCGTGTTCTGCTCATTTATAAATAATTCACCAAATAAAAAGACGTTTTCAAGTACTCGAACATCGTTGTTGTATAATTTTGGTCTTTTTTTTTTTTTTTTTTTTTATCCCCAATCATTAATTATTTATAATTTTTTTTCATTTAATTTTTTTTCTTTTCCTTCTTGATTCATTTTCGCTTTTTTTTTTTCACCTTATTAAACATTTTCGTAAATAACTTACAGAATTTTGTTAACTGCGGCTTATTAATCACAGTGAAGATCCTTTTTTTCGAACACTCGCGGGAAACAAATAAACGCCGTCTTTCTTTTTTTTTAAAAAAATAATTTTTTGAATAAGTGAAAAAGTATTAGAAGAGAAAAAAATTAGACCATAAAAAGATTCCAATTTGATCTATTAATGAACATTTTTTAGGTGTACGTGAGCATATGGATCTGCTATATTCATGAACCTTTTTTTTTTTTAGGGGTTTTTTTTTAAACTACTACTAGAAATTATTTAAAGATTTATCCTTTAAAAGAGAATGGAAACATCGTAGAAAGATCCATCTGTTTGAACTTTTTTTGAGTAACTTTGAAAGGTTTTCCAAAGGTAACCCATGTGAAGCGATCATTTTTAACTTACCTAAAATGTGATTCTTTAGGTTTTTTTTTTTGAATTTTTAAAGATCGTTTAGAACGTTATGTACGTCCGTTAAATCAACTACAAGGACACTCTGGTTATGTGTTGTTTTTTAAAAAAAAAAAAAAATCCAAGTTTTTTTTTTCAGAATAAATGATAAAATAAGGAATAAATGATTATTTTATGTTATTAGATAGAAAAACTTATCAACCTTGAGTAGCACAAATGCATAACAACATAAGAAATGTATATCC